GCCTGAGCCTGTTTATCTTCCTTCTCTCAAAATCCTGTCGCCTCTGCCTTGAGAACAGGCCAAGCTTGCGGAGGATGAGCCACCAGTTGATGGTAGCCCAGTTGTTCCTCTTAAGATCCTCTTAGATCAGCTTACAGCCAGATACTCCAAACATGTGTGCGAAAGTTCAGGCACACTCAGCGCTGCCTACCCAGCCACAGCGACCGGCAGACACAGGTGTGAGCCCAGCCAAGACCTACAGAACCCCCAGCTGACCCATAGACTTGGGAGCAATAATCGAGGGTGATTATTAATATTTTATGCTGCTGTGTTTTGGAGTTGTGTATTTCACAGCAGTGGGTAACTGATACATCGCTCTAAGAAATCTTCCCTTGACGACTGGACACGATAACAGAAAACCTTTCAAACTAAAAAAAAAAATCAAACATAAACACTCAATATAGAATACAAATAACCCATAAAGTTCTTCTTCTGTAACACACTAAGGCATCATTGAGGTTCCTAATGACTAACATGGCCCACCCTCATCAAAACGATAGACTTCTTTTTGGAACCGTGGCCCTCCTTGCTTCTCATTCCTCCGTTTTACTTGCAGCCACTTCTCCCTCAAGTGCTGCTATGCAGCGCAGCCTCAGTGCTTTGTGGGATTTCCTTGAAGATTCTTAAGCTAAGTAGCTAAAAATTCAGTGTATTACCCCTTTCAGGAGGGATATCATTTGAAAAGTAGGTAAAGCTCACGACATAATATTTTTTTCACTGCATCTAACACAGTTCTTCACACCCAGTAGGAGAACAAAAGTATTTGTTACTGAATTAATGGCTCTCTCCTTACTCCTCACCCTCGGCTCCCAGCGGTCTTTCCCTTCCGCTCGCTTTTCAATTTCTCTCTTCTAACTTCTCCCCCTTTCTTCATTTATCTAACAAAAGAAATATTATTCCTCTCACACTAACCCTTCCACTTAATATTCCCAACCCTACTTATTTCTTCTTCCTCTAGGATGTTAATTTATCCTCTCCGTTATCATTTTCTTCTTCTCTACTGACTCCTTGCATTCAGCCTGTAAACCTTTCTGTCCTTTCCTGTCAGAAAACAATATTTTACTTAGTTTGCCACTAAGGTTACTGTTTTACTTACCTTGCAGCCACTTAAGTCCAGAAAAAATATGATTTAAATGGAATGCCTCTGCATCTTCCTCTTCTATTTAACGTGTCTACCAGCAGGCCTCAAACCCTTTTATATCACATGATATGATGATATGATTTTTTGTCAACATGACTTTTACATGATTGCAGAGCAAACAGAACTGTGACAGCAAAGAGTTGAAGAACCACCATTTAGTAAATATTTACTATCCACTAGATACTGTGCTAAGCACTTTACATGTATTAACTCATTGAATATTCAAAACGATCCTGTGAGGTAGATAAAACATTTTTATTTTACAAATAAGGATACTGAGACTTAGTTAATTTCTCTCTTGTTTATCAATGTTTGATCCTGGAGTCATTAACTTTCTATGTCTCAGTAGCCCAGGTACAAGCTGGTACTCGCTCATGTACTAATCAATTCCAATGATTGCTCTGACGTACGGTCCGCCATGTACCAACACTGCCCTGTTGAAGGTCACCAAAGAACTAAACACCAGTTGCCTCATCACTGTTCACATCCCATTAGATTTTCTGTGGAGTTTGGTCCTGCTTAGTCCTCATACATGATGAGGATACTTGCCTTCATCATTCTTTTTTTTCCACTCCTAGTTCTTAACTCCCTTCTTCTCTGTCTCTTACAGTATATATATATATATACATATATATATATATATATATATATATATATATATATATATATATATATATATGTATATATATATATATATATAAGCATCCTCTTATTTCTTCCTTATTAAGAAAAATGCACTATTTCAATTCTGCCTCCCCTGCACAACCATTACTCATTTTCATTGAAAGAGAAATCTGCATGTGCTGTTTTCCACTTTCAAAACTCTCATTCTCCAATCCACTGAAATCCCAATTTTACAATAAGCATGTCATTTTAACTGCTCTTTCCAAGATCAACAAAACTCTATAATTACAAATCAAACAAAAACTGTTCACTTCTTGTCTGACATGACCCTTCTGAACGTATCATTGGCACTTTAATCTCAATACTCACTGTCTCCACTTTCCAATCAGCTTGCCTTTCAGATTTTTAACTTGTGTTTAACTGAAGCTCTTTCATCCTATGTTCATAGGCTCAGGGCCTTCTGGAGCTCACTTCCACGTCACTTTTTCACTCATCCAATCCTTTCACCCAATTCCTCATGTCCACCTTGGCAAAACCCTTTCATTAGCGGTTCTTAACCCTGGATGCAGCTAAAATCACCTGGGGAGCTTAAAAAAAAAACAAAAAACAAAATGCTTGTGCCCAGACTCTAATCCTAGACTGATTAAGAGAATCTGAGAGCATAAGATAGGGCATGGATGATTTTTTAGGATAGTCAAATTTAAATTGCAACCAGGGTTGATATCCGTTGTTTCACATTCTCCTCAGTGTAATAGCCCAAACTCAGGCCCTATTTGACTCTCCCCTGAATTATTTTAGTCCCCTCTAGATTTTCCTTCAAGCTCACAATCTCTCTTAAGACTTTTGATCACATTTTTTGCTTAAATCTGTAAAATGTAACTTTGGATATGCACTGCCCTGCTCATATAACTTCTAGAATGAAGTTCAGTCACTTTCTATAACAGATAGGACCTTCCAGAATGACGCTTGGGACATTAGTACATGCTATTTGTAATATGCAATATAATGAAGAAAGATGGATATGAGAAAAATCTAAACAAACATGAAGCACTTACAGGTCTTCTGTGTGCCCTCTTTCCATTGGTTAGCATAGTGCCATGCACATTGAAAAATATCTATTGAACTGATTTTAAAGGCCATTTTTAAGGTGAAACTTTAGCTAATCCCAAGATTCAATCTAACCAAATATGCTTGTGCCTAGTAGGAATTTAATAATGGTCATTTAGGTGCCAGATAATTATAATATCTATACTACTTTTCATGGTCTAACAAAGGGCAAGTCAAAGCAATAAAGAAGAAATCTGCTATCTCTACTCTTTTTCTTTCTTTTTTTTTTTATTGGTGAATTCGGGGGGATGGGAACAGTGCTGGGGAATTGGGGGAAGGGGGACAGACAAGTTGCTGTCGTTTTGTTCTTCAGTCTAGTTGTGGAGGACGTTGCTTCACTGGCCCAAGTTGGCACCATCATTGCGCTCTTCCCAGGCAAGGCAGATCAGTCGCCGGTTTCTGGACGGCCGCTCACTGCGGCTGCTGGCCGCTCACGCTGGCTGCTGGCTACACATGGTAGCCCATGGCAACCCACTGCCACAGGGACTGCAGCCCACGCCGTCGCCGGCGACTCACGGCAGCCCAGCTCCAGGTTGAGCCGTTGTTCAGCATCTTAGCTGTAGAGGGCAGTGTCACTGGCCCTCATATGTGGGATCCGAACCGGGGCCCTCTGGCATCCCAAGCCAGCTCTTAACCATCGCTCCACTCGGCCGGCCCTCTACTCTTTTTCAAAGCATTCTATATACAAAGCAAAATAGGAGGAAAGGAAGGGGGGCAAAAAATGAAGAAAAAGAAGGTAAGGAAGATAGGAAGGGGAAAAGGAAGAAAAGAAAGAAAGAAAGCAGTTGGGTAGGAAGTCAGACAGGCAGACAGACAAACCATTACCTTGATAAAAATAGCCATGTTCTATGAGTATGCGTTCTCTGAGTGGGTTAGGGGAGCAGGAGATGCCCTGTATATATCCCCCCAACTTTTCAGTCTCTCTAAGCAAAATGTCAGCCATCATTCTAATTCTCCCTCCAATGAGTGAGTCTAAATGAGAAAGGGCTAGATCAGGGGTTGGCAAACTTTTGAGATGGAGGAGCTGCCAGGAGTCAGCAAACTGCAGCTCATGAGCCACATGCAGCTCTTTGGGTACGTACATGTGGCTCTGACGTAAAATTGAAAATGAAAATAAAGCGATCATAGTTTCACTTATAAAATTTTTAAAGGGTATTATTCACATAATGGTGATTTCATTTGTTTTATGGCTCTCGAATAATTTTTAAATTGTTGTGAGGGACAGAATTGGCTCTTCCGGGGTCGGCAAACTTTTGAGATGGAACATAACCAAAGAGCCGCTTGTGGCTCGCGAGCTGCAGTTTGCCAACCCCTGGGTTAGATGATGAACACTATTTGATATCTTTGTATCATCAGGATATATCATCTATAAATTGAGAAAATGATTAAAACTTTTAAATAGCATTGTATAGTAGCATAAGACTTGCTGAGGCAAGTTAAGAATAGGATCAGACTCAACCACAGTCCCAGATTCTCAGATCGCTTCCTACCCATTAAATCCAATACCAATTTTGAAACACTTATGGTACTCTCTGGTGTTAAAACTGGAAGTTGTCATGTGTTAAGGCAACAGGACAATATAAAAATAAATTAAAGCTGTAGAATGTTATTCCAAAAATAACCTAAAAAATGTTGTCAGTGATAACATGTGATTTGTCTCTAATCCACATTATGACATACTACAGTGGATATATACCAAGTTACTCAAAAGGGATAAGATCACACACACACATAAAGTGCATATGAAAATTGGTGAAATCTGAATAAGGTCTGCATTTGAGTTACTAGTAGTATTGTATCAATATCAAAATTTTGACAATATAATTAATTTATAGGCTATCACTAGGGGATGATGGAGAAAGGGTATACAGAAATCCTCTGTGCTATTTTCATAACTTCTTGTGACTCTTAAATAATCAAATATTGGAAACTTGTGTAAATGACAAGATTTGTCATGGGTTTTTATTAAAAGTAGATTGAAGAATTTATGTCAGCTTCCTCATGAATTCACCGGTTTACCTGGATAGTAACTGAAGTGCTTTTAAAATAAAACATTAGAAAACAGATTGTCCAAATGTAACTCATGAAATAGAGTCTATTTTATATCCCAATTTTATTCACCTTTTCTGAATAGTCACAACATTAATCTACTGGGGATATTCTAGTTAGTATATTTGAAATTCCATTTATTTTTCTCTATTGATATGCATGTATTACACTTATATATAATACAGAATTTTCAGTGTTGTTTTAAAGGACATAGTTTAAAAAATGAGAGGCATGATCTATAATTTCAAATAAACCTAGGACAAATTCATAATTTCCAAAATAATATAGCTTTTCACTTTGTTCCAAAGAAATTAATGATATTATAATTGATGCAGAAACACCAGTACAACTGTTATTCCAGTCTTTGAGTTCATACAGTATTGAACCATTGTGAAATTCACTTGGAGCCATCTAATTAGTTTTATGCATAATTAAAATGAAGGGAGGAAGTCATTTCATTCCATGGATTTGTAGGGCAGTATAATTTTAGTTCAATGTCAAAAGCATACTTTACAAATTTAATTTTTAACAGATGTTACATTTTTAGTTCTTCCCAGAAAAGATTCTGGGTAATATATTAGTCTTTGAAAGTGTTACCAATAGACCTGAGGTCTCCAGAGTGTGTCATGGAAACCAATATATACCTAATTGGCCATGTCAGTAAGTTTTAAACATACGAAAGATATCCATACCTTCTCTAATATAAAGGAACTTCTAATAGGACAATTTCCAAAGTATCTTGCTATCAGTCTAAGATGAGTAAAACACAAAAGTTTCTCCCTTTACCTTCCTTCAAACTGTACGATTACACAATATTATTACAGAATGGCTTTGCAATTCCCATTCTTCTCTCCCTTTACATCACAAATGAAACAAAATAAATGTAGTATAAAATTATACATTCTGTAATAACTTAGAAAAAAAGGTACATACATGTTTAAGGCCTTTAAATATTTATAAGACTATCCTGTAGAACTGAAAACCACAAATGTTAAAATGACTACAAAAGTGTGGGCAAAAACTGACCTAAGAAATTGTTTTGACTGGGACAACTATAAGCAAATATTTATAAATTTGAGACCCAACAAAATGAACAATTTATTTTATCAACAGACTGAACAAACAGCATTCAAAGAGTCATTGGGACCGAGCAAGAGACAATCTAAAATGAAACAGAAAGGACAGTTAAAAAAAAAAAATGCTAGAAGAAATATAAGGAAATAAGTTTCAAGCTAAGAAATCAGAAACCCACATGCATGCCTGGCAATTTTTTTGAAACTGAAGGCTACCTAAATACTTGACTGCTCATTGCTGATTTCTGTGAAGGGAAAAAGTAAACATAAAAAGGAAAGAAAAAGCCCACTAAAAAAAAAAAAAAAAAAAAAGGAAAGGACAGGGCGAGTGCTCTAGAGGTACAAAATAGTATATAATGAAAATGGTAATTCAGTTCTAACTACTACCTATTGAACTGACAGAGCCGCGGTAGTTTGTTAGCCTTGGGGAAACATGTCAGCTAGTCTATATATTCTTATGCGATTGATGTATTCAGGTAACTATTACTTGCCAACAATAATTACTATCAATGGATATATTTTTCCATTCCTTTAAGAAAAGCAACTTTAAGATGTTAAAATGTATAGGCTTTCAGAACTCCAAGACTAGGATACAAATAAAACTGTCTCAGTCCACACCATGCCAGAGGAGAAGTTTGCAAAGGAAACGTCACTAAAGCCATATACAGTCCCACTAGCCACTGAACACAGGACTGGACCCAGGAACACGTCCATGATAGAAGGCCAGTGCACTTGGGAGACTTTCAGAAACAAGAAAAGCAGTCTCATTTGGAGCCAAGAGCCCAAAAGGCGAGTGTCTTTGACATCCCCTGGAAACACCAAGCCTTCAGATAGCAACGTCAAATTCTTTCAGCAAGTGCAGTTTTACAAGTTGAGCACAGTTCAAGTCTCTTGAAATCTTCATGACCTAGAAGTTCATGTCTGATTTTTTAAAAGTCTTGATTTCAAGGAGAAGCTGATTATGACCCATGAAATCCTTTGGAAGTAAGACTTTGGAGTACCTCTCCTGAGAGGTATAAAAATTTTCCTTCAAGATCACCTCAGGAGTTAAGTTTCTATGCATATGTTCAACGTCATCAGCCTTGAGGATCTCTTGATTTATTCTTAGTTAATGGGTTACCTACAAAGGAAGAAGAAAATAATATCATTTCATAACCTAGCTATAATCTTAAAACTCCAAACACAATTTAATATTGGAAATTAATAGGTAACTCAAAATACTAGAGTTTGCTGTACTAAATCAATTGAATTTTAAAAGACTACCATGTTCAGGTGTTCCCAGCTTATAAAAACACACCAACATTCTTCTCTTTATCATTGCACAATATTTTTAGCGCCACTTACACAGTTATCTAAATGACATCAACTGTGACCAAGAAGATCTTAACTGGTGATGCTACCTCTCTCAGATGCAAAGACTGATCCTGGAATCCCTGTACTTGCACAGGCTTGGTGGTAATCTAGAGATCATAAGCACGTCATGCCGTCCTCAGTAAATAAAGACCTTCGTTCACAGGAATACAGTTAGAACACAGCTTCAGGAAAGCCCTTAGGAACTAGCACCATAAAATCCATTCTTGAAATACTTTAAAACTTGAGGACTTATTTGACTCAATTTTATTTCAGAAAAATTAACCATTCATGGGGACAAAAAATACCTGGGGAGGAAAACATTGATGGAATACTACATCATTTTAATAAGTTTTAAAGGTGCCCAAAAATGTCCAGAAGTCCAAGTCCAAAGAATGTGTATAGGAAAAAAGAATAATGCACAGACACAATACCTGATACATATGTGTATCTCTCTATAAGCATGCAACTGGATGATAGATACAGAGAAAGACAGAGACATTGCTGCTGTGTCAGATAATTTCTAGTTATACTTCAATATCAGGGTGTTTAGAGTTGCCTGACAGTTATTTTCCAGCGATGGTTATAACAAAAAGTGAATACTTAAAAATTAGTGGATACTTTGGTTTTCTGTTAAAGGACAGAGTTGTCCTTTCATGAGACACTAACAAAAAGGCTGTTTTTCTTTTGCTTGGTTTTGTTGTTTTTGATCAACTATGAAAAAGACAAGCATACAATCGACTGGTGATTCCTTCTAGTGTATCCTTCATTTCAGTTATTGTATTCTTTATTTCTGACTGCTGCTTGTTCGTTGTTTCTATGTCTTTATGCTTACTATCTCTTTGTTGAAATTCTCACCAAGTTCCTTAAGCATTCTTATAATCAGTGTTTTAAATTCTGTCTCTGTTAGGTTGGTTACCTCTGTTTCATTTAGTTCCATTTCTGGAGATTTTGTCCTGTTCTTTTATTTGGGACATGTTTCTTTGTTTCCTCATTCTGGCTGCTGCTCTGTGTTTGCGTCTATGTATTAGGTGGCTCTCCTATGTCTCTCAGTCTTTGCTGGGTGGCCTTATGTAGTAGGTGTCCTGTGTGGTCCAATGGCACAGTCTCCCTAATCTCCTGTGCATGTGTTCCAGAGATGTGCCTTGTGTTGTGTTTGTTCTCATGTTGCATTTGAACCTTGATTGCTTTTGGTGTGCCAGTGGGTGGGATTGACTCCCAGGCTGACTAGCTATGAGGACTGGCTATGCCCACATGTACCAGCTGCTGTGTGAGGGCTGACCCCTACCCAGAGGAGGTTTCGCCCTTGTGGGCTCTTGTGCCTGTTGAGAACCTCCTTTGGGAATTCTGCTTGTGGGTCCAACCAGGTAGTGCTCTGATGTGGTCCGAAGCTGTTCTGTGGATGTGCAGTTTCTGGAGTCTCTCAGGCAGGACTCCCATGCAGGGCAATTTCAGCCTTGTCTGTTACAGGCCTGCAGCTACCTGGTAGGTGCCTCAAAGCTGTATGTGATTGGCTTCTGCCTATGCTGAACCTGGAGGCATGTGGGGGTAGCCTTGCTGCGAACTGAGGGTAGCTGGGATGAATATTTGGCTTGAGTCAGCTTAGCAAAATGTCCAGGGACACCCCGCTCCCCAAGCCCCACCCCCTCCCCACCCAAAAAGAAACATTAAACACCAAATGAAAGCTAGCTCTAGATTGTGCTCTACAACAGCTCCTCTCAAATTATACTAGCAAAGAAAGGGGTAAAAATGTATTTTCTGCATGGAAGCAGCCATCTTATTTGTAGCTAACTGGTCATCTATCACCCCCAAGAAAGGAGCTTGCCTTCATATTTAAAACTTCTTACTCCCATGCACAGAGGAATTCTGGGAGGAACTGAACTGAAGATGGAAGGTTACAAATACGTATATAAAGGGCTTTGTGACCCCTAGAGATTCTAGAAGTAGGGCATATCTTAGGTAGGGCAGCACTCTTATCATTGATTTGCCATTCAGTGGTCATTTTACACAAGTTCTGGGAGTGTCTTCTAGTTTGAGTGTCAGTGTAAGAACAACATGGGTAGGAAATAGGACTATTTCTATAGACATATGTTACATGTTGCTAGGTGATAACTGATCACTGTGAAAAATACACTTTATTAAAATCTTTCTTGATAAACATTGATTTAACAAATCTTTGATTTCCATTGGCTGAGGAAGATCCACCTGACTTCTGAAAGTTCCCTTCTTAGTAGGGAACTTTAAATTATGAAGCATAGTATAGGACAATATTTCCAAAGCCAGTGCTTGAAATGACACGAAAAGAAAGGAAGTGATACAGAGAGACAGGGAAAGATATTGAGAGAGAACAAACAGTTTAGACTCAGCAAGGGTGCAGCACAGGCAACTGGAAGGACATAGCAGAATTGGAAGGACATGGTACAGCGACTCCATGAAAGTGAGTGGCACGTCCTCTGGCGTCATTTGAAGCCCAGTGTCTAATTAATCTGTTGGTGGGTATGACAGATGCAGCCTTATATCTTCATTCCAAGCTAAGCCAAGTGTTTCATCCTGTTGCTTTATATAAATCTAAGGAGTGATTCTCTCAACTATTTATATATAAAAGCTTTGTTTGTAAATAATATATAAAAATAGTTATCCAAATTGACAGTACAATACCAAAGGCTTACATACCTAACCTAGAACAATTGTTTTTTCTCCATATTGGTAGAGAAAACATAAGTGTACATATAAACATATAAACACATATCAATATAATTATACAGTCCATATCAAGAATATCTTATGTGTACATTCTTATTACATTAAGTTTCTATCAACTAAAATAATTGCTAAAAAACCAAAATTTAAACCTGACTAAAAGAAGTAATTGTTTAAATAAGCATGGATTAAAATATAATTAAGACAATCTTTTTACATTCCAATTTTACACAACATTCTAGCACATTTTATGAGATGAAGAGTAGGGCATAAGTTATTTTAATATCAGATGAAAGTGGACAATTGTTTTAGATATGATTTTTTTCAAATTATTTGTCTTTGATCAGAAAACCATTGTGATTCAGCACATAGAGTTCTGGATTTAGGTTAGTGTGGCGGTAATAACTAGTCACACGGGATGTGTCATATGGCCTTTGGGACCCACTGTTTTTCCATATGTATGAGAGGATAAAAAGGGGATAACCCTGTAAACCTCATGGAGTTGCTATGAGGATGAAATATTATAATATTTGTGAAAACATCCAACTGTTTTGTTGTTGTTGTTTTAAGTTTATTGGGGTAACAGTTGTTAGCAAAGTTACATAGATTTTAGGTGTACAATTCTGTAATACATTATCTACATATCACATTGTGTGTTCACCATTCAGTGTCAGTTCTGTTTCCATCACCATATATTTGATCCCTTTTACAAACAAATGAAGAAACAAAAACTCATAGACACAGACAGTAGAAAACATCTAGCTTTGACAACTCTCAAGTACTATAAAAACACAAGTTTTAAATTTGGGGTTTTTCCAAAATGCATAAATCATTACCAAGAGAGCCACTGAACATAGAATGACAAGATCACGCTAATTGAAAAGTTAGGGAATTCAAACAAAATTTGGGTAATAATGTGCCCTTTTCAGTGCAGTATAAATGTGAACAGGTATCAGCACCCTCCCTGACAACCTCCAAATTTGTTCCAAATGAAATGGCAAAACAAAGATTTAAACATGTATGGATGATTCTACATATAGGTACATTATCACCACTTTTCATCACCAACTATGTAATATAATATCCAAATAACAACTTTAAATGAAATGATTGTCTAAAATTTAATACAAAAAAACTCAACCCTTTTATGAATTCTATGCTCATTAAATCAAGTGAATCAAGTTTAAATTATAGCACGCTAGTAGGGGAAAGCAAATGTCATTTTATCCTTTGTAGACTATGAACAGGAACTTTCTGATATTCAAGAGTTGCTTAAGCAGTATTAACACAATCCAACATTTAAAATTTGTTCCCTGCTTTTAAAGTAATTTTTTAATACACCAAATTAAGCATTGCCTTATTTTTAGAACTTAAATATTCCTCTCTTTCACTCCAGCCATATCTTTTGGAAGAAATCAAATAGGAAGTCTTACTTTCTAAGGATTTTCAGCAACTTTTCAGTAACTAAAAGCAGGAGGTTGTAATAAAGCCGGTTTTACAGGATAGCAAATAGCATTTGCTTTCAGGAATGCACTGCCTTGTGGTTCTAGGGCAATAGACATGAAATACTGCATGAAGGAGAGAAATGGTCCTACAATCATTATGGTTATGCCCGGAGCTTCATGTGCTGTAATTGCTATCTCAGTAAATTTGCCTTTCCAAAGGCAGTATAATATTTTACATAGCTGTTCTTGTTTATGTAAATCTTATTTGTGTGTGCTACACACCAACCAATTCGATAAGTGAAACTACTCGGCTGCTGAAAACATGCAAAATGCAATAGTAATAATAATAATAATAACAATAATAATAATAATGGCTTTTCTAGTCATAAGCACTAAAGCTATTTTGGTAGCGACTCACCAGGATGAAGAAGCTAATCTGTTAACATTAAACAAAAAGCACTAATTCTTTAAGACAAGAGCTTCCATTTATTTCGCCCAGTCCAACAAATCTATGCTAGGGCCCTGATTAGGTTTCTCAAAAATGTATACTAAAATCATATTTTTAAGTCTGTTCATCAATTTAAAATGAGAAACTAAAACCAGGTAAATGGCATAAATAATGAGTTAAATTTGAAATCATGTGAAGTCGACTATTTTACACACCTCTTATTTTGTATTTTGAGCATTGTGAAACATCTGTGCCTCTCCGCAACTTAAGATAAACTAGAGAAGCTCAAAAGGGAGGAAATGTGAGAATCTATTCTGTCCCCAGGTGCACAAGATGCTTTTATAAAGCTCTTAAAATCATTGTATTTATGGAGTCTGGATTTTTTTCCCTGTTCAAGTCATGCTGACTAGGTTATCCATGGGAGACAGCATATCATGGTGAGAAGCATAATGACAAATAATAGGCTCTGTAGGCACGCCGCCTGCATTCAGAGCTTAGCCTTAGCACTTGCTAACTCTGTGGGGTCGGATAAGTTAAACTCCCCGAGCCTTAGTCTCCCCATGTGGCTTATTACCGGCCCCCATATGGTTTTTACTGTGATTAAGTCAGACAGTCTCTGCACAGTGTCTGTCCAGCTAAACACTTTTTAAATACTAACAGGTGGTGGCCTTAGTAATTCCCAAACAAGACAAGAAAGGTGTTACATAGGATACATATTGGAGGGGGCGTTACGTCCTATTTCACTACAAATAATGACTTCCTCGATTAAAGTTAATTATCTGTGTCTTATAGTAACTAATCTTGCAATTATTTCTTTTCATATTCTTGTTAGTCATAAAAAGTCATATATCAAGAAGGAAGCACCATGCTTTTGGCTGACTTTTGGGGAGCGATTGTCTTTTCAGACAAGGTGAACAGTGGTTTAAAAAGAGGATATACCTTGAAGCCAGGCTGCCTAGCTAGGTTCAATGCTCAGTTCTGCTGATAACTCAGTGCATGACCTTGCGTAAAACAGGTATAATATTAATATCTACAACATAGCGTTGTGTGAGCTGAGGAGTAAGGACGTTAATAAACAGGTCAAATGTTTAGAATACTTCCAGGCACAATAAGCACTGTGCTAGTGGTAACTATTATTCAGACATGTCTACATTTCTAGGAATCAGAATGCAATGAATTCCTAGTTTTTGCCCCTAGTTATTTATGAGCATACGTTACTGGTCTTCACAGGCACATAATTCCATTCTTTTTAATTCTTCGTCATTATAGTGGAGTAGCTGCCATCAGGCTTTGCACACAAGACATAATTAGGAAATTAACACTGCACTTGAGCTATCGAGGCTTAAAAAGTAAATCTGGTATTATAATTATGCCAAACAAAATGCAGATTTGTAAATTTCCTCGTTCATTATTGGTGGTTTTACTTTGAGTTCTATACCTCAGTTTTTTTAGAGCCTCAGTAGTGCAGATTGAGTTCTGTCCTATACACCAGGTTTATTTTGAACCTCAGTAGGACAGTCTATGTAAAGGTGTGGAATCACTGCCAAATCTCCACAGCATCAATGTGAACTTTATATCATATTAGCTTAGTTCACAAAATAATAGATTCTCTTGTTCAATGTGGTCATTCAAATCTTGTTATGAGGAACTATATTCTTTTGAATACAAAATTAGTCACATACACACAATAATAGAAGGTAATGCATTATAACATTACACGTCAATTTCATCTTTTAAAACGTTAAATTTTAACTAGGATAGTCATGTTTATTAGAGAAAATTTACTTTTGGACTCATGATGATCATTCTTTATTTAAACAATGGAAAGGCAAGAAATATGGGGCAATATTTCTGAGAGGAGGTGGCAGGTTTAAATGCAGTACATGTCCAATCTTTATAATACAGCTGTTTAATACCATCACCAATTGGCACTATTTCAAATTAACATTCCAATAAATTTAACTTATTCGATAAAGGTAACAAGAGGAACAGACTATCTTCATAATCCTAAATGCTGATTTGAATGCACTTTTCCTTGCTTGGAAAATAACTGCTGCTTCACTGCAAATGTATTTTTTAATGTAGCTCTTACGAGTACATGAATTAAGCTCTTACTTCACTTTTTGTATCCTAAATGTGCAATTAAAACATCATTACGCTGCAGTAGCAGGTTTCTTCATTTAAGCTAGAGAAAAGCTGCCATTGAGCTGGTCGTAACTGTACCCAAATGTACTTGTCCTATCTTAAAGCACCTTGACCAGTGAGGTATTACAAAACGAAAGACATCTGTCAGCGTGGATAATCATTCAAGAGCAAGCTGACCAGACACTGTTTAGGTTTGAATGAGGTACCGTAAGTCAATGACATATGAATTGCCTTCAGAAATATACCCGCCTATACAAAAAAATAAGCCTGTAGTTTTTTCACGGCTATAGCCCTGAAAACTGTTGCATTTTCATGCCAGTTTAATTTTCTTTCCTAAGAATGGCTAGTGCTGGATTGGCCTGAACATTTATTTTAATGTTTGGGACATCAAAGGTCATCGGTTTAATACTTCAGCTACATTCAGCATTTCCACTAAATGACTTGTTATCTGTTCTATAAATTCTTGAAAAATTTAACAACCTTGGGTGATTAGATACTCATTTCAAACAACAGAGAGCAATTCTGAAGCTAACTGATATTTAGGTGTGACTCAGTGTGGGTGACAATGTGGAAGCAGAAAGTCGCTTGTAATTTTCTTAGACTTCTGGAAAGAACCAGAGCATCAGACATGACTGAGGAAGGAGACAGAGGAGGCCTTATTCCAATGAGCTTTATACCAATGTGACTACCTGCTAGTGGTTTTAGAACTTTGGACAAGTCACTTAAAACTCTTTGAACCTCCAGGGTTCCTCTCTGCCAAGCAGTGGGTTGGACTCAGTGAACTTTTAATGCCCTTCTATCCCCAAACTACTGTGACTTTTCTTAAGTAGCACTAATTCCAAATGGAATAAAACTTGGTCCTGATTACCTAAATTCATCAGAGGTATAACCGCTATGTAGACTTCATTTTTCTGACAAGCCTATTGATGATATTAGGATGCAGAACTAGTGAGCTTTTACCAAAAATATATCTGTCCATGGCTTTCAGCTTTCTGTGCTGTGCAAATGATCTTGACAGGAAGTGAATCTTTTGAACAGATGGGCCCGCTGCACCAAAGTTCCCGTTGCTTGGAACTTGGGAAACTGTACAGTGCACCTCCCATGAACCCTTCCACGTGACTCATGAAAACAGATGACTGTTTGCATTCCGTTTATGCACGTTCATCCCCTCAAACAGATCAACTGCTTCTCTTGGGATGACATGCACTATTAACAAAACATTCCCGGATTTCAGTTTTGGTGGCTAATCAATCCCTTTGGGACATTAAGGAAAAGTAAAACTTCCCTTCTGTTCCTTCCCTGGCCTCAAACCATAAACTTCTGTTTGTTCAGGTGAAAATGACCCTCACATTTTAAGATAATTTTGAAAGACAACAGTTATAATGGCATTCAGTTATGTTTCCCTCATAAATAACAAAAATTCTTTAAAATGGGAAAATAATTATTTTGAATGCTTTGAGGAAATCTGAATTGATTTTTAATGCTACTACTCCATATACCAGTATAATTCATACATTTTTAGAGACAGTTGAGATTTTGAATTCAATTGAAAGGTATTTTACCTGCTAAATTTGATATTAGGCTAATTTTTTTTAAGACTCTCATTTGTAAAGGTGAAAATTGAATTGATAGTTTTTATCCACTTTCAATCATTAAGCCTTAATTTAAAAGTTTAAAACTGCTCAAGTATCACACTCCTCAAGAATTTCAACCTCAGTACATATGAGTGTTAGCAAAAATAAGCAGTAAAAATTGTGCTTAAAAGTGAATTTAAGATAAGTGGGGTTTGGGGAGAAAGGCTAAAACTTGGAAGAAATTCATTTTAGTAGCCTAGAGATTATTACAAAGAGAGCAACATTTTCTCGTAGTCTCCTGATTGATTTGAATTACAAATAAAAATGGTTCTTAGTAACAATGTTTCCTTGAGGTACCTGTCTAAATAAAGAATATGTTGCCATCACTATGAAAAAATTTGGTATAACTTGCGGAAGACAAAGCTAGTACCATGGCTGAAACCTCATTCTCTCTCCTCTCCATCTCTACCTTTTTTTCAAGAAACGAAGTTTAGAGATGAGTATTCCATATGTGGTAGGTCTTTGAAAAAAATCCCTTTCTGTTAGTTGCAAAACCAGAATCCATTTCTGAAGGACAGGGAAGTATAATCAGTGATGTTTAATATGTTGGGGGCTTTTGGTTTTTTTCCTATTTCCCAGATATTTTCATCCCTGAGTGTTCTGGTTTTTTTTAATAGTCAAAATTCAGTAATCTCAAATTCCTAAAGTTGATAAAAATATGAATCATTAACTAATTCTAATTGCTTAGATGCTGGTATGATATAGCTGGTTCAGTTATGGGGCATTTTAAATATATAAAGAACGGACCATTAGGTAAGGACACCGTCTTCATTTGGTTTATGGAAATTCAGTGAAAGCCTGATGGCTCAGTATTTTTCATGCTAATTTCCAAATTAATAGGCAGGTTGAACAATGACAGAGGTCCTCTAATACATCAGGGTTTTGTATTACCCATTTTCTATTTTTTGGGAAACAATATGTCAACTGGGGGGCTACTGTAGGTGACAGTATTAGGTTTACCAATGATATATTGGCTATTTGTGGCCAATTTGTTTAATTTGTGGGTCTCATATCAGTTCAATTAATGATGCCCCCTCTTCTTTTTAATAAAAGATAACTCAATGCCTTTCTTTACTGACCACACTGGCAGCTCTTTGCCTCTAATCCGTAAAGCTGTACCGAGTTCATCTTTTCCTCCAAAATCAGGGGCACCTGGAAAGCTCATGGTAACTATAAGTAAGAGTAGGTGACAGTTAATTCTGTAACATGATGTACACACCTTCTGCTCTGTGAGAAATAAACCCAGACAAGAGCTCATTTCTGGAGTGGTTTTGAATCTTTATTCCTCAGTGAAACTTCTGGCCCTTCCTTAGAACCCGACCAACACGAGGATTTGCCACACTAGTGCTCCAACGTGGAGCCAGAATTTTTTTTTTTGAGTGTGGAAAAACAAAAATTGTCAGCAGGCACGGCAGAAACCTTCTCTTTCTACTTCTCCATTCAAACTTGAAGAGTTTTACACGTTTGCCTAAGGAACAAACACATGTTCAGGTACTCCACTGTACAACAGATTATTACGGGAAGCCAACCTGGGAGAAAGGGAACATTTCAACAAGCATAAAGGGGCAGCAAGGCAACCACTTCCTTTACCTCTATACAAGCGCCCAATGGGGACGGTTTTGTATTTCTCCTAGAAGATTATAAACTCTTAGAACATTTTTATTTCAGAAAAACAGATACCCATAAATGGGACCTAAAATAAACAGCTTTTACAGGAAATGGACACAAGGGCAATAAGCGTTTCTCATGAATATTCTGGGAAGCATTCTGCACCAACTTGAGAAAAAAGTTCATTAGAATCAAGGAAGGAAGTACATAAAAACCAACAGACAATCATTTTAACATAAAAGGGTAAAAGAATTGTAGAAACAAGATTCTGTAGTAATATTCAATTTGAATTCAAAGATTTAATACTTAACAATCTTTAACCATTTATAGGCTTGCCTGAATGGCTATAGTAATATAGTAATTTAGTAATACAGTCCATAGTCTATAGTTATTTGTAATTTGGTAAAGCATGAACACCCTAATGCTGATAAATGGGGCCAAGTCATTTAACCAATGAATGGGTTAGCCATCCATGGGCATTCTGTTCTCAAGCCGGCTTTGGGATCGCTACTCATCAATTGTGTAATCCTTATGAACAATCTGAATGGGATCTATGCCATTGTTTTCAGTTGTAATTTATGATATTTTATAACTATAGACTTTCAAACGTTTTCTTTATAATTTCTCTTTGAAAAAGTATTTCATAAATATAAAACATGTATTATTTCAAGTTCACATATTTGAATACTTTAATATTTGAGAGCATAACATGTGAATAACAATAGTAATAATATAATAATAATAATATAATATGGAGGAATGGCAAGTAATTTAGAATCAGGTAAAAGAGGGTTTTGGTAATATGAATCAAAAGTAAAGTAAAACACTTCCTATGTAAGTTTGAGATCTCAGGATAGTTAAAACTAATAGCAGAAAAAATAATTAATCATGTCTTAATATAAAAAGCTATTTCACAATTTTGAAAACAACTTGAGTCTTTCAAAACTAAGAACAGACAGACCCCTTTCCCCTATTACTGCTATCCTTTGCCTAAAATGTAAGACTAAAATGATGGTCTGAGGAAGATTTTGAAATCTGGTCACCGTATTTACTTGACTTTATCCAGATATATCAGAGGCAACACAGTCATAAAGTGGGTCAGTGTCATGACTTGCCATGGACACAAGTGACTGAAGACAAAGGATGAAGGTGGAAAAATATAGAGGAGCGTCACATCTTTTAGAAAAAGCAAGGAGCAGATGGAGAAACATACCACTTAACATTTCTAGTTCTCCATTTTCTTTACATTGCTCAAAAACATATAAAGCCTTTGTTTAATTTCATATATCCCCAGCAAGTATTTTTAGAATAACATAAAATTTCTCCATGTGTCTTATCTCTAATCAGTTTCTAAACCCTAGTCCTCTTTTTAATGTGCTCCCAACTTGTCTCACTGTCTCTATCTTAATCCAGGCCTCTATTCCATCTGGTGTGTACTGTTGCAATAATCTCCTGATTTGTCTCATCCCTTGTCCTCTTCCTCGTTGTCACCATCATCATGCAAGGAAAAAACTATAATAGTGTCCTGTTACAGAAAGAAATATAAATTCTTCCTGGTGATATAAAAGGTCCTTCATGATTAGACCACAACCCACCACCCAGCTTCATGTCTCCATCTTCCCAAAGCCCCTCAGAGACGCACAGGCACAACTCCAGCCATACCTAACTGTTTAATACTAGTAGGACCTGATACACCCATTCATGTCTCCTTATCTTTGTGTACATTTTACCTTTGCCTGAAATACTCTTCTTTCATACCTCAGAAGAAATGTTGCCACTTCATATTTCATAAGCCCTAGTCATTCATCCAGTCAGCACTTTGTCCATTTTTCCATTGTAAGCCATATCTTATCATATTATGATTGTTTATTAATGTGTTTCTTTCTCCCACTAAACTATTATGTATTAGAAAGAATATTAGCATATATTTTGTTTCCTCAGTGCTGCTAAGCAGCATTCCAGGCACATAAATGATGCCTGATATTTATTAAATGAAAGATTGAAACAATAAATGGATGGGTGGACAGATGCACAAATGAACAAATTAATGAATGAGTACCTGAATATAAGGGGAAAGTGATAATTAATTTCAGAAGAAAGAAAATGAGAGTTACAATTTGGATTTTCCATGAATAGCAAGGGGAATGATTAAGTAACCGAAAAGGTCAGGTCCTCCATTTTTAATTTTTTTAGGATTATTCCCTTGATTATGTGGTTTCAGAATTTGAAATTATTGACATGTGTGGGTCCTGACATCAGCTTCACATTCACACCTTGGATATTTAAATTTATTCTCACTTGGAAAAGGTTTGATTTTTAAAACAAAATTAATTCATGAAAATAATAATGCAAGAAGGTAATAGCAATCTGTGATGCTTTAATGGGTATTAGACTAACCGCTTGGGATGTGGGAAATGTCCAAATAGATACATCAAGATTGATTCTGGCATATTCATTACAGTTAATATTTCACATAGAAATTATCCTAATTTTTAAAAAAATGCACTTCTTCTCTCTTGAGTAATTTCCATAATGCTGCTTAACACTGTCAGGAAAATTTTCTCATGAAATATTCTGGGGTGACAGTTACCCTACACCTAAATATTACATGCTCACTTGACATCAGGTATGGTGGTGCAAATGAAATATCAAATTTCTTATAATGGAACAAAGTAAACAAATACTACATTGACTGATTCATCCCCAAAATAATATTGTGCATGCATTCTCATACTCTAATTATATGCTATTTAAATTCAGTTTGCCTGACTGCCCATACCCCTAATTATTTTTTTTCTCCCAAATATAGAGGCTGGTATTTTAGAAGGCAAAGAGAACTTAATGTTTGCTTAGCAAAATGCAGCAGACTGTGTTTTCTAGTCTAGATCAACTGTTGATCCTTCTGTTCCTCAGGGAAATCTAGAACCTTCCTCACCCTCCCTTTGCTTCCATCTCTCAGATCTTAATTGCTGGCATCTGTAGACCAGCAGTGCACATTCATTTTCTCTTGTAACTCTCAGATTATTCTGGGAGATTGTCCCCATTTGCTATTTACTGTGAGTAGTCTTTGTTCCTAATTACTGTTACTCACAGTTTACAGTTAAAAACAAAAACAAAAACTGAAGCTCTGATAAATTAAGTGAAACTTCTCAAAGATGCATATAAGCGGTAGGTGATAGCCTGGGGACAGAGATCCCTATGTCTGGGCTTCAAACCTATTGAAACAGGTCCTGCATATCTGTATTTTCCATTCATTTATTTGCCTAAATTTATGAGCACATACTCACAGGCACTGTCTTAGGTGTGGGGGAAAAAGGACAAAATCACTGCCCCTGTGAAACTGACAATCTAGAGAGGCAGATAAACAAAAGACACAGTAAGTAAAATTTTAAAGTATGTTAGGCCATGCTAAAAGAAAAAAGTCAAGAGGAAGAAGAGAAGGGTTTTTGAGGCAGGTATGGACAATTTTAGCACAGACAGGGAAGACTTGTCTAGAAAATGAGACTTCCGTAAAGCCGACAAGAGGTAAGAACCTATCAAGTTGATAGCTGGGGGAAGAGGATTTCAGGCAGAGGGAATGGCTTGTGCAAATGAACTGAGACCAGAAAAGTGAGGAGAGCGGTGTGGGAGCAGTGGAGTAAGCAAGAGGGACAGTAATAGAAAATGCGGTCACAAAGGTTTGTTCATTCATCTAGTTCTTTTTTTCTTCAACAAATGTTATTTTTGCTATTTTACTTATTGAGGATAAAGAGGGGGCAAAAGCAGATATGGTCCTTGTTGTCGTGAAGGCACATGGAAGAGAACTACATTGTAGTGACCGGAAACACACATGGCTTCATACCCTCCTCCTTTCAAAGGCCTCAGTCGTAGAGGTTGGATCTGGATGGAGCCTGAATGGACATGACAGAACACAGTGACTTCTGGAAGCCACTGTTCTTTCTGTCGGGACAATGAAAAATAGCAAAGTTTTAGGAAAGAAAGGGTAGTGAGCAAGTTGTGTGTGTGTGTGTGTGTGTGTGTGTGTGTGTGTGTGTGTACATGGGAAGTGACAGAAGTTTGTCCTGGCAAATGTTCTCAGTTGACTGGTGGCAAAGAATCCCTGAATGTGTGACTTTATATTCACTTATAACCTAGTCCTAGCTAGATGGAGACATCCTCTGGTATAGAAAACCTATCTAAAATAAGGCCACTTGTCCCTCCACTGTAGCTTTTAGCTTTTCCTGTGTAATGAGAAAAGTTTTAAAGGGGTGTCCTCTCTCCAAACTCTTCAGCTGTTCTTGGAATAATGAAGTTCAAGAGAAAGGTGAGTTCAATAAAAAAAAAAAATACTATATCTCCCCTCTTAGGAGATTCTGAACGGAAAAGATAGAAAAAAGTTCTATTTGAAGCAGAAAGAAAAGCATTATCTTAGGTGCTACCCTATCCACGGCAAACTGGTTTGAACTATGTAGTGGTGGGGGTGGAGCAAATATTATTTGGTATATTTAGGCTTTTCCTACTCAAATATTTATTCTCATAACTTGGAGGCTAGACTACCCGGGTTTGATTCTAGCTCCATTGCTTATTAGCTATGTAATTTGGGGCAACCTCTTCGTTTCCCAATCTCCTCATATGTAAAATGAAGATGCTCACACCTATCTATCTCTAATCCCTGGGGCGATTATGAGCATTAAGTGAACTAGAATGTGATAATGCTTATAATACTGCTTGACCATAGTGAGAACTTAATATGACTTTTACTAATGTTTACTAATTCTAGTAAAAATGGAAGTAGTATACAAGCAGTAATGTAAGCAGAAAGTCACTTGTCATGTAGATTCTTCCTGAGGAATTAAACTTTTTATCATTAGGAAATGTTCCTCCTTAGCAATAATTTTTGCTACAAACCTTTTATTAGCTTTCTTCA